GAGAGAGAGAGAGGAGATGCAGCACCTGTCTCCCATCTCACTACATTGCCTCCCAGTTAGACTCTCCCAGCTGTTCCTGATGATCAGCTCTGCCAGCAACATAAAAATCAGCCAGCCCTCAGTTCAGGGAGCAGCCGAGCAGAGAGGTCCTCTCTGGGCTGTTGTCTCCTCAGCAGCATTTGGTTTTGTTAAATTAAGTTTTATGTAACAACTTTGGTGGGTGCTTTGAAAGACTCTGTGTTTAACTGCAACCATTTTCAGAGCAAAGGAAACTTTGCACTTTGCTTTGCTTCAAATAAGACATCACTCGGTTGAGGAAGTTGTGTGATCTTTCTAAGTTTTGGTATTGATTTGGTTAATGAGAGAGTTTAGTCATTACTTTTTAAATATGTTTTGTGTTATAATTATGTAAATAAATGTTGTTTTGTTAATTTTAACACAAGACCATGCGTCCTCAATTGTCACCCCAGGCCTCTAGACAGCCTGGATGGTAACATGGACCCCTTAGTTAACATCGCTGCCTCCTGGATAACTCAACCTCTGAGAGCGACGCTAGGACTGGCTGGTCATTCTTGGATGGAGGACCTTTGACTCTGTTCCACAGTTAAAATCTGCTCTTCCACAGAAAAACTACCACCAATTAGATTTTTCTGTCTTTAGCTTAGCTCTTCTCCTTTTTCCCAGCTGTTTCATGCAGTCTATGTAAAGGGTAAGTCTTCTCCGACATCCAACCTGGGTATAGAGTCTGATTTGCACCTCCCCAGCAGCAGCGCTAGTTCCTTGCTGTTTGAAAATCTTTAAAATAAAACAACTCTAGCCAAATGCCTGCTTGATTGTACGACCCTGCATCCCAGAGTGCTTTGCAACGTTGCGTCACAATCTATTTTTAGCTACTGTAGAAAGCCCAATTCTTTAGTTGTCTGGCTTTGGAGAGTAAAGCCTAATTTATACTTCTCCGTCAGCTCCACGAGGGAGAGACATGCACGGATGGAGACATTTTTCCCTCATACTTCTCGCAAAGCAATTCCCCGCCAAGACAACAGAGGGCGTAGCGCTGTTCTGCGGTATCCTGTCATGTATCTGGTCCAAGATTGTGTGTTTATATTGTGTTTTTGTATTTAAGAGTCTTTTTAACACGGGCAAATTTGTCCCTCCTCCTCATGCGCTCGCCACCTCTAAACCCACGTTTCCCGTCGTTTCCGTCCACGAATAAAACGCTTGCTGCGCATCTTTTCACTCCTCCAGTCACGGGGAATTAAACGTTCATATTTTTAGTCATTCAGCGAGGTATTCTTCAAGCGGCTTTGTGACTGCCGCTAGATATCCTCGGCTCTCTTTATGTTTTTGAGAGCACAATGTTAGCGCTGTTGAAGAAGGCTGCATCCCGACCATTCACAAGCTTGCGTTCTCCATCTCGTTGGACGGATGTTTAGAAAAAAGAGTTTGACCCCGTCCGCCCTCACAAGCCTGTCGGAAAGCCTTCTAAAGGACCGATAATGGCGTTGCGTGTGTCTGTCTCCACGCAGACGAGGAAGTATAAATTAGGCTTAAGTATTTTTTTCTGGTGGACTAAAGCCAGTACTATAGCATTCAGATAAAGCTAAACAAGATTTAACTTCCTGTAAATGCCTTCAAAGTAAAACATACCAAGTTTAAACTTTCATGGTTTTTTAATTAGCATAAAAGATTTGGAAAACTGAAAAATGTGTTTTATTATTCCTGGTTATATTGGGTCACTGTGAGATTTCATGCAGGCTGAACATGAAAATAGTCTCCTACACCTATCTCCTGCATTAGCTTCTGATAGAAAATAGACGGTGAAACTCTAGGACCTGAAAATCCTCACAGATATACGTCACATTGTCATCACCCATTTTGTCTTGTGACGGGGAAGGTCGTTGTTGATTTAACATCAGGAAACAGTAGAGAATGTATCAGCTAACTGTTAGCATTAGCAACTCCACCACACAGCAGAACTCCTTCAGGTTTGTGTTGTTTGCGGGGATTAAACATCAGCTTTGCAGAGTCAGTGGAAGAGTCCCGCTCCTGTAAGCCAATCGGAGGCAAGATGTCCAAAAATCAGGAAATAAGATTCCAAATCCTGCCGTCTGAAGCTCCTCTCTGATGTGGCATTCCGCTAGCTCCTGAAACAAGAGCATCTGCCCTGACATCACTTTATTTCTGTCTGATAAAATGTATTCAACACATAGCAGCATCCTGATGAACCCCAAAATGGTACAAACTGAACTTCTCTGCCAAACCTACACACACACACACACACACACACACACACACACACACACACACACACACACACACACACACACACACACACACACACGCTGACACTTACTCCCTCTCTCCTTTAGCTTATCTTTTAATTCATTAATGTGTGTCTATGTAAAACTGTGGTTCAAAGAAGAGAAATGACATGGGTTTGTTGGAGAGGGCGTGGGCAAGTCAAATGAAACAGTCCGTTTGGATGCATGGATGGATACAGAATGAGTGACGTCAACCAGAAAACCTGAACAATGAATCTCCTTCAACTCCTTTGAAGGACTTTCCTGACACCTAGTGTTCAGCTTCAACCAGACATAGAAATATTTTTAGGATTTACATTAATTTGACTTTTGCAGCAGTTTTAAACACATAAATCTAATCATTTGTTTTTATCAAAAGAGAGAAAAAAGTGTGTATGGCTGACTTTTCATCTGGAAATTAAAGTTATTTTCTTTCCTCATCTGTGTGCGCGTGCACTTGTGTGTGTGTGTGTGTGTGTGTGTGTGTGTGTGTGTGTGTGTGTGTGTGTGTGTGTGTGTGTGTGTGTGTGTGTGTGTGTGTGTGTGTGTGTGTGTGTGTGTAACACTGACCAAAATCACCTGACCTATAATTATAATTGATACTGTAACCGGCTGGTAAAAGACCAGAGATTTAAATAAAGACTGAAGCCTAGTGTGGCTGTGACCTTCTGAGATCTTTTCTGTCTATTATGGCAAAAAGTATTTTTCTGAAATATTTAATCTGATAATTTCGTTAAAATCTCCTTTAACATCAATTAAATCAAAAGTTTCTATTCATTAGCGTTTCATAAAGAAACCAAAAGTATGATTTCCTAACACTTTCCTTGAAATTGTTTTTAAGATAGGAATCATTATCATTTGTCTTCGGTGTTACACACACACACACACACACACACACACACACACACACACACACACACACACACACACACACACACACACACACACACACACACACACACACACAAGCTAATTTGAACAACCTAACACTTCAGTTTACGCAAAGGAACATAACACAGTCTGGTTTGGCATCCTTCATATTGTGTTGACCCAAATCCTGACAGGTCCAGGTGTTCGGGTGGGGGGGGGGGTGGGGGGGGGGGACCTTTGTAGGAACAGAGTGGATTGTGTTCAGCTTGGCAGACCCAGACCCACTACCTCCTTCACTGGAACAACAGTGCTTACTCAGAGTCAAATGAGCTTATTGCATGGATGGACTCTAGCTTTCTCTTCCTCAGCCGTTCAGTGTAACCAAAGTCTCCTTTTAATATCAGATACTGTTCATTGTCCAGCACACATGTCCAGCCTCACATCATTTGCATGCCCTACAGCCACTCATTTGTATATGTGCACTGTTTACCTCATCCTAATAGCGTTATCACATCTGGCGTTTGTGCCAAAGCCGCACTGGATACTGCTAGGTGAGGCTGTGCGGTTGTCTTTTCCTGATGAGGATCTAAGCACAAGCAACGTAGCTCTTACATCCATTCTCGTGGTATTCTGGGCTTCTGAGGAACAGGAGGCAACTTAAAAGCTAAGGAACTCCAGCTTCATATTGAGGTCTCTGGATAATTCGCCTCACTCCCTTCTGAAGAGACATTTGGATCTAGGTTTCTGAACCAAGAGGAGTCTAGACCAGGACAGGGAGAGCCTTCACACATTCCAGACAATGCCAGGAAGGCGGTTGAGCAAAAGTGGGAGTCTTGAGCCAGAACCAGAACACCAGCATCCTGGGTCAGAGAAGGAGACGATGGAGCAGAGAGGACGCCCATTGACGTTGACCCAGATTGAGTTCCGAATGCAGCAGCTGAACAGCCGGCGTCTCCTTCTGCTGGAGATCCAACGGTCCAAGAAGAAGGAGGTGCAAAACAGTGAAGAAACCATAGAGGCCATAGAGAGCACACAGGAGGGTGAGTCTGTCGGACACTATCTTTTGTTTCAGGGTCTCCAATCATCATTGTCTCTAAATCTAGATTGACTAGCTACAGTTCATTATGGAGCTTGACAACATCTATGGAAACTGCCAACAGATCTGGATGTTTCCACTCAGTCTTTAATCCATTTATTGGCCCCATTTGGACGCTTTAGACCAGTGGTGTTCTATCCTGGTCTTCTAGGACCACCAACCATACGTGAGATGTTTCTCTGCTAATAACACACCTGGGTCTGGACAGGGACTACTGCTCTTTTCTCTGACGACGTTCCTATGCTACTGGGAATTAAACACCAGTGGATGATGATGAGGTGTCTTCAGCTAGCTGCTCCTTTTCTTATCTCCCTGTAAACTCTTCTCTGTTTTCCCCTCAGAAGGCCTCCTCCCCCACTGGGGATGAGAAGGTCCTGACATTTTTCAGATTATTGATTAAGCAAATGTGTACAAAAACCCAGTACCCGTGTATTTATTTAGAATTAATTTATCAAAGTGACTAAACCAAAGTGAACACATTTTACTGAGTGTCTGTCATCTTGGAAATAACTACCATTAGAATTAGGAATGGACAACATATCTGCATCAATATCGGTATCGGCCGATGTTAGTCATTTTTTTTAACATATCGGTATCGGTTTTATAAATAAAACCGGGCCGATATTAACAACCGATATTTTTTCTATGTCGTCTTCATTTGTTTGCCTGTTTCGGGGGGGGGGGGGGGGGTTGTGTAGTTGTTTAGTAATGCGAAGAGTGAATGAAACCATCTCAGAACCGTAAATGTGTGTGGCGTGTGTGCATAATAACGTAAATTCAGTTTTCATAACTTTCATTCTATACAAAATCTGCTGATTTTAGAAGCCTGTATGTCAGTATATCGGTATCGGCAAATATCGGTTATCGGCCACAACAGTGATCTTAGTATTGGATATCGGTATCGGCCCCAAAATTACATGTTGGTTGCATCACTAATTAGAATCTCTTTCTCTCTTTGACTATTAGAAATATGTTTTGTGTAATTATTTAATGGAGAAAGTTTTCTGAACAGCCTCAGTTTGAGGAAATAGTGTTTACATGCAACAGAAAGAAGATGACAGCTTAAATGAACAGAACCAAGATCAAAGCATTTTGCCACCATCTTAAAATGGCTCCAATATTCTAAATTTCATGGTGGGCCCTGTCTCCCCGGGCATCTTCCACACAGCCGCATGGCTCCCATGTGAGGCTGTAGTTGTCCCAGCTGCCTGTGGAGCTCTGAGGGAGACCACAGAAACACTGCAGGGCTGCCAACAGCGTTGCCAACTCAGGAATTTTGTCATTGTTACTAACAACTACATGAACCCCCCTGCCCAATTAGCTTTTTTTCCAGAAAGCGCCTAGCAACAAACCTAGCTGCATTTCCAAGGACCCTTTGCTACTTTATGTAGAACTTTGTGGTGAGCTGGTGCAAATTGTAGCCTCTTTTTCCTATTAGCAGTGGAGATGAGTGGTACCCGGTGGGGTCTTCTGCTGTTGTAGCCCATCCGCCTCAAGGTTATGCATGTTGTGGCTTCACAAATGCTTTGCTGCATTTCTCGGTTGTAACGAGTGGTTATTTCAGTCAAAGTTGCTCTTCTATCAGCTTGAATCACTCGGCCCATTCTCCTCTGACCTCTAGCATCAACAAGGCATTTTCACCCACAGGACTGCTGCATGCTGGATGTTTTTCCCTTTTCACGCCATTCTTTATAAATCCTAGAAATGGTCGTGGGTGAAAATCCCAGTAACTGAGCAGATTGTGAAATACTCAGACTGGCCTGTCTGGCACCAACAACCATGCCATGCTCAAAATAGCTTAAATCACCTTTCTTTCCCATTCTGACCTTCAGTTTGGAGTTCAGGAGATTGTCTTGACCAGGACCACACCCCTAAATGCATTGAAGCAACTGCAATGTGATTGGTTGATTAGATAATTGCATTAAGGAGAAGTTGAACAGGTGTTCCTGATAATCGTGTGTGTGTGTACATTTATTTTCATTGTAGATGTTGAGGGTAAATGAACGCCAATGTGGCGTGATGATGTAATCTATATGCAAACTAGTGTGTGATGTCATCTGGCAACATCTGGGTGACTTTCTTGGTGAACTTCAGCTACTTTCTGTCAGAGGCAGTTAGCAACACTGCTGCCAACTCTCACGCATTAAGCATGATATGCACTCATCTCACCCACTTCACACACACTCACGCCACACATCCAATGTCTCACGCTGAACCCCCCTGCTCTTGGAACGGAAGCAAAACAATCCATGTCAATCATTTGCTCCCAGTTTCACCTTTTTGCCCAATTTTGTATTTGTTGTTAGTGACGATATGAGTTACATGACCAAGATGGCGGTGGTGGGAACTGCTCATTTGGCTTCAAAAAAGCCCCACAGAAAGATGTTTGGTTTGTCCATCTTTTTATACAGTCACTGGTGGCTGGTGGTGGTGTTGAAATCTGTCAATAAACCAGAAAATACAACCATTTGAGGTAAAACTGGTAAAGGTTTATCAAATGACAATGGGCCGCTGTAGTTTTAAGCTAGCAGCAGCATACTGTTAGCTTAAATTGGCTGTTCCTTTGCTTAAGCTCTTTATCCCTAAACGGAGTCAAACCATTCTGGAAGTTCACGTGAGCGCAGTTTGGTCTTTCTTTTGTCAAATAACATGTCTGACATGTCTGCTTTGATGTCGGGTTGCTAGATTCCACGCAGGGCAGCGAGGAACTGAGCGAGCTGATGACCATTCAGAAGGAGCTCGATGAGCTGCTGGTGCTAAAGGAAGACTTGGACAGAAAAGGAAAAAGATTCGTAGATTTCTCAAACAATGGCAAGTTTCCCTGTTTGAGGTTTCGTATGTCCCCAAATCTGTCTTGAAATTTCAAAAGACTAAAAGGTGTTTTGGCCTCAGGTCAGAAAGAGCAAACGTCTTACAAAGGGAGCCCTCGTGGAGGGATCTACATGCTGCCTTTTTTCCAGCCAAACCAAGACGATGCACCTGCAGCACAGAGACCACCAGAAAGAATTGTACCATGTGTGTTCCACCTTTACTGATCAATGTTTGCCCAGTGATGCTTTAAATGTTAACCAGCCAGATTAAACTCCATTTGTTTCTTGTTGAAGCTGAGATTTTGGGTCGGAAACCAGAACTCACACAGTGTCCCTTCTGCGAGGAGGTGGTGGTCACAGAGATCCACAGCCAAAGAGGTGGTGCCATGTGGATCACGTGCTTTTTGTGCTTGATAATGGGGTGAGATTCAGAAAGCCCACTGATTTACGCCGACTTTCTGTGGTAATTCATTCACATCCGTTCTCCTCTCAACAGCTGTGTTGCAGGCTGCTGTTTGATCCCGTTCTGCATGAAGCGCCTCAGGAACATTCAACATGTGTGCCCTGAGTGTCACGCCAACATTCACACCCACAAGCCTCTCTAACAACTGGGTAACCACACTCATGAGGAAGACTTCCAGACTAGAAATTGGCATGGACTTCTCAAAAAGAGGATGGCCTGTGAACAGTATTCCTGCAGAACAGACTTCCATTTACTGCTTTTTTACTTCTCCTGGACTAAATAAAATTCCTCCTGATGGACTGAGCCAAAAATATCCACATTTTATACTTTGGTTATTGCTGGTGTAAATACTTCCTGGTTGTGAAAATAGGCTAATAATGCAGTCTTTTTCTACTTGTTTCCTGATGGAGATTATGTTTTGCCAGCTGAATATTTGCTTATGCAATCTCTCAGTGAAATTCCCTTAATCAAAACTACTGTGAGGTGGGGAAGGAGCACTTTCCTAGTACCTGGGGGTACTTTAAAATACTTCAGATCAATGTTTTCACCCCAGCATATTAAGCTGTTTCCCTGCTTCAACACAATCTGTTCAGCAGCACACCAAGCTCTATAGAAGCATTCCAATTATCACTGACTAAATCTAAATGGTTGGAGCAGAGAAACAACTGAAACATGCTAGAGTGAATCCTGAAGATCAGGGCTGAAGCACACTGCTATTTCTAAAATCATTAAATTAAAAGTGCTCGTTGTTAGTGTTCATAAAGATTTAATAAACAAGTCCAAATGACACCACTGAGATCTGTTTAAAAAAAAGTCTAAATTTAAAACCAGTGTGGTAAAAAAAAAAAACTTAGGTACTTGATCAGGAGATTTGGGAATTTGTTGATCCAGAGCATATAGAGCTCCGAGAGTTGACGTCACTTCTCCCGGCATGCAACAGTTCAAATCGAAACGGCGCCATATTGGCAGGTAGAAGCCGGCAGCTGGACTATTTGTTATTGTCAAAAAACTCAATCAGACAGGAAATATGGTAGATTCCTGTTGTGCCCCAGGATGCAGAACAGACACGGACGACATAAGGAATGAGCCGTCTACAGGATTCCCCAAGATCCGGAGCGCCGCAAACGTTGGATCATTGCAGTAAAACGCGCTAGTGACCGGGCTAAAATGAAGCTGTGGGATCCAGAGAGTAAAGGTTTTCGCTTATGCAGCGACCACTTCATATCAGGTACTTAAACCAACGTTTCCTCAACTGTGTATGGTATTTATTTTAAATGCTTTTATTACGATTCTTAGTGGGCTTCCTAAACTTATTTTGGCATGGCTTTTTCTGTCTTATTACTCACAGCAACAAGTAAACATCACGTAGAACGTTGCCTCGTGAGTTCTGCGTGCTGCCGTTTACGTGTTTTATGATCACAGCAATTAACCGGCTAAGCTGTATTTAATTTTTAAGCAATGGTTGATCAATTGTCAGATCACACATAAAAAGCACTTTGGATTGCTATTATCTGTCTCACCGAGTCAGATCTCAGACAGATCCTGAGACGCTCCTGCCTGACATATTTATTTTTTATTTACGGAAAACAATCAAACTAGTGATTTCTCTTGGCGTTCAGTTTATATATTCAAACAGCACAGCACTCTATTTAAACTACTTACGTGTAAATCTGTTATTTGTCCATCCATTTTCATCTGGGTATCCGGAGTCGGGTTGCGGGAGCAGTAGCGTCGAGAGGCCCAGACTTCCCTCTCCCCAGCCGCCTGAGCCAGCTCCTCCGGGGGAATCCCAAGGGGTTCCCCGGCCAGGTCCAGTAAGAAGTCCGCTCCGACAGCTTCTGGTGTTTTTAAAAAGTATCCCAGGGGCACGGTAAGGGTCGGAGATGTTTAGTCTATTTAATTTCTGACTATATAAAACAATTTCTTTGGTTTTAAAGTGTGAAGTAAACTCCGACGAAGTAAAATCCAAGCCGATCCCGTTCATGGTCATGTTTACGATCCGTGTTTGTTTAGCTTCTTTTACCTGCCAATATGGTGTCTACTAACTGAGAGTCACGTGGGGCCCGGAGCTCTATAGACCAAAGACATCTACAGAAGGAAGCTGGAGAAAGCTGGGCAGATCAATGCCTGTGGTGCATGGAGAGGACTCGGGAACATCACAGGTCACAGTGGTACTAGTGAGTCTGCTGAAGGGGACCAGAACTGGGCTCCCAGCAACAAACAAACACACACACACACACACACACACACACACACACACACACACACACACACACACACACACACACACACACACACACACACACACACACACACACACACCTCTCAGTTACATCTGACCAGGTGAAGAGAGAACTGAGGTGGCTTAAGAGCAGAAAAGCAGCAGGTCCTGATGGGAACAGCCCCAGACTGCTCAAAGACTGTGCTGACCAGCGTTGTGAAGTGGCCGTGAAAATGTTCAGCCTAAGCCTTTGGTTGGAGCAGGTCCCCATTCTGTAGAAGACCACCTGAGTGGCCCCTGTTCCCAAAACATCACATCCTTTAGAACCAGACCACTACAGACCTGTCACCTTGACCTCCCACCTGATGAAGACTTTGGAGAGACTCATCCTCACCCATCCACATTGTGGTGAGCCCAGAAATAGACCCACTGCAATTTTAATATAAACCAAACATGGGGGTGAAGGATGCACTCAACTACCTGCAGCTCCGGGCACTGACTCGCCTCCAGACGCAACAAAGCACTTTGAGAATCAGTTATCCAACCATCTGTACTGCAGCCGAAGATGAGGGGTGCAGGAGTGGACAAACATATGACTTCATGGACCATCAACTCCGTCAACAACAGGCCACAGTATGTGAGGCTGTACATCTGAGGTGGTTGTGTGCAGTACTGGAGCTCCACAGGGTGTGGTGCTCTCACACGTTCTCTTCACCTTCTACACCCTGGACTTCACCTACAACACAAACAGCCATCATCTCCAGAAGTTCTCTAATGACTTGGCCATTGTCGGCAGTGTGTCTGAGGGGAATGACCAGGAGTGCAGGTCAGTCGGTGTGAGTGTTACCACCTTTGCTTGACCGGTAAAACAAAGGAAATGGTGATCGACTTCCAGAGAAGCACTCCCCCTCACTCACCGGTAAACATCCAGGGAGCAGACATTGAGGTGGTGGATAATTTTAAGAACCTGGGTGTTAACTTCAACAGCAAACCTAATTGGTCCAACAACACAGATGCTCTGTATATGAAGGGCCAAAGTTGCCTCCACCTCCTGAGGAGGCTGAGGTCCTTCGCAGTTAATTCCCAGCTGCTAAAATGCTTTTATCATTCTGTTGTTGGCTCCGTATCCACTCTGCTGTGGTCTGTTGGGGTGCAGGCAGCTCTGACTGAGATAGGAAGAGACTGAACAAGCTAGTTTAAAAAGCTAGCTTGGTTGGGCTGCCCACTGGAATTCAGTTGAGGAGACTTGTGAAAGGAGGATGCTGGTGAAGATGACCCCCATCTTAGAAAACCCCTCCCACCCACTGCATTCCACTGTGGAGACAGATGGACAGTTCCTTAAGAGGAAGACTGAGACATCCCAGATGTAAAACAGAACGCCACCATAGGCCATTCATCCCCTCTGCAGTAGAGTGTATAACTCCTGAACCTTTAACTGGTTTTGGCATTATCCTGTTACACAATAACATCAATGCAGTACTCTGTATGTTTTCAATACTTGTGCAATACCGGATTTACACAGTATGTCTGTGTCCCTTACAGTGTGCTGCATAGTTCAAGTTTCATTTTATTTGTGGTTTTAATGGATGAAGGTTATAATAATAGCATACTGCCTATGTGTATATACATGTACTTTTGTTACTATTTTTCTTCTAGTTATTCTCTTAAGTGTTGGTGCTGCTGTAACAAGTGAATTTCCCCACTGTGGGATCAATAAAGTCTATTCTATAGGCACGTGTTATCAGAAATCCAAAGAAGAAAAAAATCAGCTATGAGCTACGGCTCTATATTTAAAATGGCCATCTTTCTACAAAAGAATATCCTAGAAAGTTAAAAAATTGTGCAATGTTCAAGAAAATTTACATGAAGCTCAAACATTGCAGTAAATGTCAAACAAAGAGGTGGATCTAGATTGAAATACTTTATGGGGCTGTTAAAAAAATTGTTCAATAAAATAATGGCCACAATATGGATTGTTGCGAAGAGTTTGGAGAAACTTCCCCCTTCGCATCTTTAGAGGAATTAGTCACTAAAAAGACGATAAGTTGCAGTTACTGACACAGCCCTGTTTCAGTTTTTAAACACTGCTCCTAAATTCTTGTTGAATGTTTGTTTTAAAAAATATTTCACATCCTTTCCACTAGGTACAAAGACAGAAAAATGAGCATAACGATGTGCTTCCTGTTGACAGTGACTGTATGTAAAACAAAAACCCAAACAGGACGACTTGCTGACACGTTTATTAGAGATCTGGGAAATGATATCAGAAAATATTTACAGTCCATAAAAACCAGACAGAAGTTACGTTTCCTAAACATTCAAACTTTACTGAAAACTGTAGCTGTCCAGTTTTTATAATCTGACTAAAGATTACGTTAAAACATAATGGTAGGACATTTGGAGGAGTCATTTCATACCAGCTATAAAGCATGGTGGTTGTAGCATCATGATGTGGTATTGGTGCACTCGCAGGACAGATGCAACTTCATAGGAATTCAGAGCCTTGGAATCAGTTGAGCGTTCCAACAGGAAGCGAAGCTGAGGAGTAAAATCTATCTGTAGTATAGTAAATATAAGCTAATTTCCAAATCAGCTCAGATGTCATACTTGAAATTTCTTATCAAGTGAAGAACATGGACTTGAAAACCCCCATGCATGAATCAGAGGGGACATATAATGTATTTTAAATATATTGTATTAGTTCAATGGTAGGCTGCACAGTGACACAGTGGTTAGAGCTGTTGCCGTGTAGCAAGAAGGTCCTGGGTTCGCTTCCCAGCCTGGGATCTTTCTGCATGGAGTTAGCATGTTCTCCCTGTGCATGCGTGGGTTCTCTCCGGGTACTCCGGCTTCCTCCCACAGTCCAAAAACATGACTGTTAGGTTGATTGGTCTGTCTAAATTGTCCTTAGGTGTGAGTGCATGTGATTGTTTGTCCTGTGTCTCTGTGTTGCCCTGCGATGGACTGGCTCTCTGTCCAGGGTGTACCCCGCCTGATTGCCCATTGACCGCTGGAGATAGGCACCAGCCACCCCCCCCACGTGGACAAAGCGGGTTCAGACAATGGATGGATGGATAGTTCAATGGTCTAGAAAACATGTTCATGACTTTTTGGCACAAAGTCCATCTCACATAAAGCAATTTTAGCAGTATTATTGACATTTTAGAATAAGGGGTTATTCTATGCAAATTTCCCATTTTGAAACATCTTGTTTTAGTCATAATTCCCAAACGTGGGCAGAAAACAGATTGATGTTTTCATTTTTCAAGTTTAGAGTTAGAGGCAGAAGAGAGCCACATGGCAGCACCAAAAGATGCAAATAGTTCGATTTGCACAATATGTACCCTTTAAGTTTTTAAGGCCTGTTTGCTGTGTCGGATGCCCATTCTGCCTGATTTTCCGCTTAAGGAAAACACTGAACTTATAGTTAGTGGAAAAGAGGCTGGAAAAGTACATCTGTATGCAAACATGTATGTAGAAGCTGTGGAGATTTTGTGTGGATCCACTTGCATTTCTAGAATGGTGAAATTTTGATGTAGGTCTGAACTCTTTAGCCTTTCTATGTGCAGATTTGTAATAATATTTCTATTTTGGGCATGCTTCTGGGTGGTATAATAATGTATTATGAAATAATACCCCCAACCCCCACCCCCCCAAAAATAAATCTCATGAGTCCTCACAGGACTCATGAGGACGATTTTGAAAAAGTAATGAAATCCACCTGAAATTTTCACAGTACACTATTTTTATTGACACATAAAAGCATACAGTACTTAAATACATCTTTCAGAGTATTTACAAATTAAAGAGCCTGTGGATGTTACACACATATAAAAATATGCATCAACATCTATATAAATATGTACACAATGTGCAAAAGATGTGGCATTACAAACAAGAGACATGGCATGGAGGACGGAGACAAGACGGGAGAGCAGTGGAAATCCAACACCATGTTCTTTCCCATCACAGCAACATTTAAAGGCGTGATTTGTCATGATACAGAACCAGTGGGATATGTACGAGGTGCAGACTGTAAAGTAATAGGTAGTTAAGAAACAGCTCTATTTTACCACATTTAGCTTTGGCAAAATCATCAAATTTAAACCAACATTTAAAGCTAAAATTAACTGTTGACCGTAAAATCTAAAGATATAAGGGTAGAGCTAAACATTTAGATACAAATCTAAATATAAGTTTCTTTTTAAATATTTAGAATCAGATCTAAACATAAAACGACGCCTAAACATCGAGAGATGGTGAAGTCTAAACACAAAGTCCAACCTAAACATTTAAATGCAAATCCACACTTTTAAAGTCAAACCAAAACACAGAGCTGTATCTAAATATTTTGTTAAACTTAGATATTTAGAATCAACTCTACACATCTTAAGCTCAATCTGAATATTTATAATCAAATCTATGAATATAAAGTTGTACCTGTATATGAATGTGGTGGTTTTAAATTAAACGTTTATCTCATAGAGTCCCACTAAAATAAAAGAAGGGTAAAGGGACGCCGCTCCCTGTACGACATCGCTGAATGCCTTTGATGGTTAAACTGTGTGGGCTGGTCTAATCTCGTCATGTAGGGAGAACCCAAACAAGACGACTACTGATCCAGGGATGAATGGACTCGCAAATGATGCTACATGCTTTTATTTTAGTGAGCCACTTCCATTTTACGGCACTCTAAAGGAGCAAATATTTAGCTTAAAACTGACACATTTATTATCAGCTATAATTTAATAGATTTAGATTTTATTCTCAATGTCTTTTAGGTTTGTAATTTGTAAAATTGAAAATTAATCTGGTAAAAAGTGACACAACACCCCATCAAATTAGTGTCAAGCAGCTAAATGTGACAAAATGTAGCTGTTAATACTAAATAGTGCAACAGTTAGCTATTTAAACTAAATATGTATTACTTTACAAATGGCACCCCGTATATATGACGTGTTTTACAATGCATGACTGGAGTAAAAGCTCTTTAAAAAAGAATCAAAACAGGATTTGACATCCAGTTCAGCACATCACAGAAGAGCAGCTGATTTAGTTTTATCTGCCCTCGTGTGTTATCTAAAGTGGAGTCGCATGGAAACACGCCCTGGCGCAGCCCAGAGCTGTCTGATATGAAACCAGAAATATACACATATGTGGTCCTCTTTAACAGTTGTCACATGGCCGTTACTTTTATCATTTATAATAATAATAAAAAAAGATTAACAAACAAAAGTCAACAACTGAACAAGTTCTACCGCCTTTTTGGCAACAGAGTATCAACGTGCCTAAAACGTGACCAGAATAGCAAAAACAGATGTTTATTCTGAGAGGAATAAAGTAATCACACAGCTAAGCGGTGGCAACACTTGGGCTAAGTCAGATCCCAGACTCTGACACATGCATGGGAATCGATGGGAGCACAAACAAGGACGTGGTCCTCTCTGAGCAGGTTCAGACGCGGGGAGTTTGTGGAAAACACACCAAAAAGGAGGACGTGTGTGCAGTATTTGGCATAATTTCTTCACTCAGTCAAACGTGAATGCATCAGTGGAAGGGTTTAGAGTCAATCAGGCGGGAGGTGTCGCCCTCTAGTGTCTGAGGGCACAACTACAAGAAAAACTGTTGGGATTTTTTTGGTCCCATCCAGATGGAGGAACACACACAGGACACACTTCATCTGTATGTCTGAACTGATTAAAGGGATGCATCGAGTGTAATAAGAGAGGAAACCTCGCCATGCTGAGCCCCTCTTTACAGCTGTGCATCACACCTGGAAATGTGTGCCTTCTCCAAGGCAGGACGGCAGCCGAACTAAAGTCAAAGCTCGTTTTGATGCGGACATTTTCAAGAATGCGTGATATAAGTTTTGCTTTTTTTTAAACCAGGAAAGAGTCTGAAATAACCAGAACAGTCATGCAGACAGAGAGACAGGAACATGCAAGAGACGGGGGGAAGGACATACACACACACACACGAGTCTGTGGTGGCTGATGAGTTAGATGATTTCATCAGCCAGGAATACTTCTCCCATGAAAAAAAAAATTGGTCACATGACAGGAGGCTCCTAAAGCAAAACAACTCATCAGCTGCCGGTTATTTGAAAGGATATTTCAGACGTTTTGAAATGCTGGTCTATACAGGGGGATGTGAACGTGTGGGCAGCCTTGTTCATCTTCAAGATTTTCGTGTATAAATCGTTGGTTGTTATGATAAATTATTTCAGTTAAACATAACAATGGGGACACTCAGTGATGTTAGAGAAGTGAAACAAAGTTTTTAGAATTTACAGAAAGAGAGCAATTATCGTTTAAACAAAATTAGGCTAGTGCATCAATTTGGCATTTTTTTAATTCCAAAATCTTTAAAACTAATTATTGGAGTTCAACATTGGTTTGGTTAGTTCAGTGACCCTTGACCTCCACACACAGGTGAGTCCAGTTATGAGAAAAAAGTATTTAAGTGGCCAATTGTAAGTTTTCTCCTCTGAATATTCTCTGAAGAGCAGCAACATGGGGTCTCAGAACAACTCTCAGTGACCTGAAAACAAAGATCGTTCTCCATCATGGTTTAGGGGAAGGAGAAAGAAATCTGTCTCAGAGATTTCAGCTGTCTGTTTCCACAGTTAGGAACATATTGAGGAAATGGAAGACCACAGGCACAGTTCTAGTTAAGGCTCCAAGTGGCAGACCAGGGAAATCGCAGAGCAAAGAATGATGAGAACAGTCAGAGTGAACCCACAGACCAGCACCAAGGACCTACAACATCATCTTGCAGCACATGAAGCTATTGTGCATCGTCCAACTATTGAGTGCACTTCACACAAGGAGATGCTGCATGTGAGAGTGATGCAGAGGAAGCCTTTTTCTCCTCCCACGGCACAAACAGAGCTGCTTGAGGTTTGCTGAAGCACATCTGGACAAGCAGCTTCATTCTGGAATAAGGTGCTGTGGGCTGATGAAACTAGAACTGAGTTATTTGGGGCGTTATGCATGAAGGAACAAGAACACAGCATTCCAAGAAAAACACCTGATGCAGTAAAACATGGTGGTGGTTACATTATGATGTAGGCGGTGTGACCATTGCAGGGACTTGGAATCTTGTTAAAGTTGAGGGACGCATATCAGCAGTTTCTGAAGACCAGTATCCAGGGATCAGTGACAAAGCTGAAGCTGCACCGGGGCTGGATCTGTCAACAAGACGACCCTAAACACTGCTCAACATCTACTAAGGCATTAATGCAGAGGAACAAGTAGAACGTTCTGGAACGGCCATCTCAGTCCCCAGACCTGAAAATTATTAAAATCTGTGGTGCAAGTTAAGAGAGCTGTCCATGCTCAGAAGCCATCACACCTGAATGAACTAGAGATGCACAAAATATTGAGTTAACGCATTTTCCGGACTATAAGCCGCTACTTTTTCCCCACGCTTTGAACCATGCGGCTTTAGTCAACCAGAAAGGATGGATGCTGGAAAGTCTAATGAAGGAATGGTTAAAGGAGTGCTACGGAAAGCACCCAGGAGGATTTTTTTCACAGTAAAACGACGCTGCTTGTTTTCCCAGCTTCACCCCGGGATGATGACAGCAACACGGAGAGCGACACCGACATCGCCACAGAAAAGGTATGTGACGAAGCTCTTCTGAGGCTGTTCAACTCAGACACCGAAGATGACTTCAGTGGTTTCAATGTGCAGCAGGAGGATGAATAAACTAATCAATAACTTTTCTGTTTTGTTTGATACTGATCAGTTCAGTTACGTTCAGTTAAACTACGTTTTCAATTCAGTAGATATCTGCGGCTTTTAGCCTGGTGCGGCTTATATTAAGGTACGCTCTATAGTCCTGAAATTATGGTAATTTATTTTGTGGCACCCAAATTTATGCACCTGCCTTTGTTTAAAAAATAATTGCACAGTTTCTGTAAATTCTATAAACTTTGTTTCCCTTCTCAAACATCACTGTGTGTGTCTCATATATATTTAACTGAAATTATTTATCGTAACAACAGATGATTTATACAGGAAGATTAACAAGACCGCCCAAAGTTTCACATCCCCTGTAGTTCCCTGAGCAGCCTCATTTTAGATAAATGTATTTCTTGTCCCATAGGACTGATAAGCTAACAGCTAGTGTGAGTGCACGTCACAGTAGATGCAGTGTTGTGCTTCCATTCTCTTCAGCCAGTAAAACCTCACTCGGAAATGTTGTTTTAACCCTTATTAATGCTGTCTAAAAACGTGTGCAGGCAAAATCTGAAGTTATTTTAAAATAAATAAATGTAAGATGTTTTTAAACTAGAGACCACAACTCTGGTTATGGTCACCAATGCAGATCCTTGTACAGCTTTGATATGCCAATAGCATCTGACTTATGAATAACAGAAAACAAAAAAGGGAAGATACGGTTAAAAATCATGTCACAAAACTTGATTCACGTTGCCGTCTTTGCACTAGCTGCTACCTCATCAACCATGTATGGTGTATATGCCATTTCTCCCAACAGAGGCTGTTCAGGAAGTTAACAAATTTCAAAATGGCCGAAAAAGCCCTGCTAACATGGCTGATGGCTCGTGACGCAGTAATGTTCCTTCCTGGCGTGCGCACGCGCGTGCGCACACACACACACACACACACACACACACACACACACACACACACACACACACACACACACACACACACACACACACACACACACACACACACACACACACACACACACACACACACACTTGTATTTGTACCCTTGTTAGGACTTTGTATTGACTTCCATTCATTTGAGTGAGTCCACAATGCTTAACCCAAACCCTTACCCAGTGTATTCCTAAAGTTACCTGTAACAAAAACTAAATTCACATCTTATCTGTAAACCCCACCCCCAGGGAGTACTCCGTATTAGAACCGGGCTTTGGTCCTAACAAGTTCCATCAGTCGTAAGAAGGTTGGTAAATATCCCAGATCCGGTCTTCACAAGGGTACAAATACAAGCCCCCACACACACCCACACCCACACCCACACCCACACACACAGAGACAGCTAGATATAAAGCTCATCAGACATCTTTGTTCATTGATATGACTGGCAGCACATTACTCTGGTGCCTGAACAGAAACAGTTTTTGTCCCTTTCTAGTTTTTCTTCAGTTTACTAACCAGAACAAAGCTGCCACCTTTCAAAGTCATAGTTTTCTTTTGTTGATATCTTCAAAGGTACATTCACAATAAGCAACTTGGACGACTGCAGTGTCTCCAGGACAATGTGACCTCTGTCAGCTGATTACAGTCACAGAGATATGCAGCGTTACCACTTTATTGTTCTGAGGCGACGAGGTGCATTGTGGAATCTTTCTCGTTTAGTGCATAGCTCTCACACTGACAGACGAGCGGCGAGCTCTCGTCGGACTTGTCGTCAGAATCGTTGTTTGGAACGGAGACGAGGAAAGGTTCCATCAGATTAGTCAGGGGACATGTCCACAGACGGGACCAGTGTCTTCTTCAGAATGTGGCGACAGACATCTTTGAGTCAAAAGACAGATGTGACTGGACCCAAAGGAAACCTACTGGTCAGGGGAAGGTTTTGTCAGAGCTGTGATTCTGTTGGAACCCAGTAGCTCCCTGGGCTGTTGGCGACAGGTCACAGATAAACTAACACAGCAAGACAAATGTCCACGGAGTGTCTCAATCTGGCCACCAAAGTTGTCTCACACGCCTGAGCCAGAGACAATTTCCAGAAGGGTTCGAGACAAGCCCCAGAATCCAGCAGCAATCTGTGGTTATTTTGAGATCATTTTGTCTCGTGGACTTTTGAACTGGTTCAAACTTTCAAAAAGAAAGAAGAGAACTCATAACAGTTTTCAGACATTTTAGAAAAGCCCTTGCAAATACCATCTGCAGCCAACAGCCACAGCCTAGTGAGATACTGGATTTAGTGGGACGAAGGTTCTAACATCAGACACGCCCCCCCAAAAGGACTTGGAAACATTTAAAAGCCTTTCAGGTACCGTCCTTGGACCGGAAAGCAGAAGGTTTTCACTAAAAGCCCACCAGAATGTCAGAACCTGTCACTGATCCTACTCTGGCTCTCAGAGGGGAAACCATTAGTGTGGCTTAAGGTGTATTTACAACAGTCTTTGTTTGGCTCTGGTTGAAACTACAGATAAAGCCCTGACCCTCTGATGGCTTCTGCTGCTGCAGACGCTCTCCCAAACAGTTCAGCCCTCACCGGAATTAAAGCCGTGCAAACTCAACGCATGTCCATCCACTTCAATAATGAGACAGAAGAGCCTCTTTGTTCCATCTCGATTATTCCCGTCAGTCCCAGTGCAGCTGCAGGTCATGTGAGTCCAGGAAGTCTGTCGGCATCCCCAGTGGTGTTAGCGGTGCCCCAACAGAACCAGGTGGCATGGTAAGATCCAACCATTCCATGTTGTCCAGCGCCGGGTCGGACAGGCCCATGTTGAGCAAAGACGGGGAGGAGGACGAGTCACAGAAAGACAAGTCAGACGTGTCCATGGGGGAGTAGAGCTGCTGGTCCACCAGCTGGGCCTGCAGCTCCTCCATCAGGCCCTGCGTCCGAGGGTCTGACATCGACGGCGTCTCAGCCAGAGTCCTCTCCAGGAAGGCCTCCAGCTGGTTATCTGTGACCATGGGGGTCAGGGTGGGGCTGATCAGAGAGCCCAGCGTGAACGGTGGAGCCACCTGGATCTGTGCGGGGGGTCTGGATAGGGCGGTGTTGACAGGAAGGGTGGAGATGTTGGCTGTGACTGGGAGGGTTTTACTGAGAGGGGCCGGGGGTTCCTGCTGGATGAACTGGGTGATCTCTGGAGGGTGAAAGGTAACAAGGGGTCAGATTCACCTTAGAGAGACTTCTGTCGTGCGTCTCTGAGGTAGGCAGCTTCCTCAACCTGAGGTTATTTATCCCAACAGAGGCCATTCAGGAAGTTACCACTGATAAATACAATAAGTTTAAAAACATTTACAAAAGAAACCCTTCCAAAGTCGGCCGACATCTAAATTTATGGCCCTGACTGCGTCTTTCCTCCTTTACCTCACAACTTACCTCCACTCTCTATGAGGATGTCAAACAGGTCATCCATGTGTTGGCTCGTTGCCATGGAGACCTGGGTAGACATTCGGGGGCACCACAACAGTTAATAAACACCATGCTGGCAATAACTAAAGCTTAGTTGTCTGCTGAATAAACTGCAGATGGTTTCCAGTTTGATAAAAATAAACAAATAATGTTTGACCCTTGTGACCTGATAGCTTTAATGTGTGTGTGTGTGTGTGTGTGTGTGTGTGTGTGTGTGTGTGTGTGTGTGTGTGTGTGTGTGTGTGTGTGTGTGTGTTGAGGCATCTCTGTGTGAACCCGACCTGTGAAACACTATTAGTGTGGGTGTTTCTGCTCTGCTTGACTGCCTCCTCGTAGCGGGGGGGCGCCCTCGTCTTTGGGGGCTGGGGCACCAGGGAGGAGGGCTGGAGGATGAAGGCAGGCTGAGAGGAGGACACCTGGAACGATGAGGAGAAAAATCCCAAATTAACCCAAATAATCCCAAACGGCGTGTGAGCTTCCAGGACCGGACCATACCTGGCTGAGTGGTTTGTTGGAGACCCGGTGGTTGGGCGAAGTGTGTGGAGAAACTCTGTTCTCCGGGGAGCTCCGGAGGAAACACTGGGCATTGATCTCAGGTCTGGGTTGGTTCCCTAAACCAGAAGGGCTGTTGCACATGGACAGAGCCTGAGAGGAAACAAAACAACGCTCAGCATCAGGACAACGGTGGTCCAAGCACAAAACACAAAACTCATTTATTTTGAAGAAGAATTCAAACAAAATGCAAACAATAAATCTAAAGTCTTTATCGTAAACTTGACGAGTTGAAGATGCACCACTCTTCTCTGAAATTTAAACATCTGATTCTGAAACCAAAACCTTTGATCTGTGAAAACCAAAACAACCATGTCTGTCTTTTGTTAACTGGTCCATGAACATCATTAAATTAGCAATAAAAGATCATCAACAAGGAACTTTTCACTCATAAATTTCTAGATAATCAGAAACAAAGGAATTATTTTCAGTTCTTTGAGCTGAATCAGCTCTGAGGGTCAGATCTGCACATGAATCACAGACCAGCTGACGGACCTGTAGCAGCGGCTGCTGGCTGGGTGTCATGTCCATCTTGGTGGTCTGCAGCTGAGGAACAGGAGCCTGAACCAGACCTGGGTTAGAGACTGTGGCCTGGAGGACAGGCTGGAGGAGAAAACCAGAAACACCTCGTCAGACTTCCCAGAGTGCGGTGGCGTTTTACCCCGTTGGACCCGGTCTCACCTGCAGGCTGAGGGTGGTGCTTGGCAGCTGGATTGCAGTGGCATTGTTGGGTAGTGAGACGGGGACGAGGATCTGAGTCCCAGCTTGGCCGGTGGTGAGCAGCGTTTGAGGCGGACCCAGCACCCCCCCTGGGTGGCTGATGAAGAACTGCTGCAGGCTGGGGGCTGCTGGCTGGGCCTGGATTTGGGGGCTTTTCTGGGTCTGGGGACAGAGCTGTGGGCTGGTGGACACTTGGGGCTTGGCTTGAGGCTGGATCTGAGTGATGAGCTGGGTTTGGGTCTGAAGCTGCAGCACTTTTCCAGGAGAGACAGTCACATCCTCCAGCTTCACTACAGCAGGTAGCTGTGAGCCGAGGATGGAGTTTGGAATGGCAGCAGAGCTGGACGAACAGTTAGGCAGCATGCTGCCCTCCACCTTTACCACGTTAGCATTGAGGACAGGTGTGCTGATAGTTGGGACAGACGTGAGTGTGGGAGCAATGGAATCATCTGAACATCCAACCTGACCTCTTTTCTCCACCTCCAGCTGCATCTTTAGCTCCTCCACCAGCCTCTGCTCCTGCTCCAGCTTCCTCATCAGCTCCTCGATCTGCCGCTCCTTCTCATGGAGCCTTCTGTCCTCCTCAGGAATGTGAATAGAAGGCCGAGGAGATGAACGGGGCCCGGAAGAACCGAAGCTCCCCTTCTGGATCTCAGACGTGGCCTCAGACATGCTGACGTCTGGCTGGAGAGAAGCTGGATCGGCAGGAGTGGGAGACACGGGAGGTGTGGAGCTGATGCTCCCTGATGCCGCCTGCTGGACTGGGAGGACTCTCGCAGGTGTTGTATTGGTGGTGACCTCCATAGGGAGGGAGGGGACGATGGTAGTGGCACGAGCAGCAGTGGTGGAGGGTGCAGCGATGCTGACGCTGTCCTGGAAAGGCTTCAGTCTTTCTATCAGATCTGTTTTGGTTCCCGACACCTGGAGGCCTCGCAGCTTCAGCTCCAGCTTCAGTTCAGCCACCTGGAAAACACCGGAACATGACAGCGGTAGCAACGCTTGAACTTACACTTAACATGTTTATGCTAGTGACTACACTAATCTGTTAGTAGTTCCCTAGACTACAACGGTCTGCAGATAGCTGATTAGAAACAACCAGATCCTCAGCTCTGTTCCTCTGCATCAGAAGCTGACTGATGCTTCACTTTCCTCCGCAGTGGTCGTTAGGAGAAACAAAAACACACCACTGCTTTAGGAGCACTGCAGAGGGGCAGCTATGACACAAGTCTAAGCACTGGTGTAGCAGAACCTGCATTCATCCTCACCGTACGTTTGGGTCGAGTAACGCACACAACTAACCTGTTTGTGTTTGCTGACAAGACTCCCAAAGCACTAGCAGGTTTGATTTAGCCAAGTTTTGCTAACGGCTACAACGGAAACGAGGCAGAAGAGTTGATTAAAGCCTTCCATCTGAACGGCAGCTTCAGGATCACTTTAAAGACCCAACAGACCCTAACCCTAACCAGCTGAGTTGGGTCCACACACACAAAAAAAAAAATCAAACCCACTTAGAAACATCTTCGCCACGTCATTTGAGTATTTACTGGTTCATCTCAGGGCCACTTAGGTTAGTAATATGTCCAGATCAGAATAACTTGAGACAAACCATTCTGGAGGTGACCAAACTTCCTGTTTGACACTGATCCCTTCGGACACGTCTACAGTTCAGACGGGATGGGAAAGACCAAATAATGCGACTCTTTATTTCTAATGAAGACCACAGCTAACAGATCCTGTCTGACTGTTTGCGACCCGCTATTTTTGGATGACTCTGGGCAAAACTCACATTTGGATTTTCTTTGTTTCTGTTTCACCAGATCCGTACAAACCACCACTTGCATCAATGCTAATATTTAGTACTCTGTACTGGCATGTATGTAATGTACTGTACTGAACTGTATGTACTTGTACTCGGTTTGAACAAAGGTGGAACAGGTGTGGAGTTTCAGAGCAAACCTGTGGAAAACTTCAAAAGCTACACTGATGTTGAGTGTGTTTGGGTAGAAATGAAGATTTAAGTAAAACAAACCACACAAACAATAAAAAAAAACTTTTTTTGTCTTGAAGTACTTCACTAAAATCCTTGGTAAGCTATACTTTTACAACTACACAGATGGATATTTACCAGAGGTGTGGACTCGAGTCACATGACTTGGACTTGAGTCACATGACTTGGACTTCAATCATTATTTTAATGACTTTTGACTTGACTTGATAAAATCTATAAAGACTTACGACTTGACTCAGACTTGAACGCCAATGACTTGCGACTTGAATCGATTTGCATCTGTTGACTTGATGATGACTTGAGCATATTTGATATTTTAGCACAAAAGTGGCGCGACATGAACAAAAATCATAACCCATTCTTGGTTCTGGGTTTAATCTTGTTCTGCTAACTGCAGTAGCACTTTGTTTAGAATCAGTTTCAGTTGCACTTTCTGCTGTTTGAGCAAATAAACGAAGCTTTAAGAAGCTTTTTTCTGGAATTTATTTATCATCACTCTCATTAAATTGAAGTTGGACAGATGACTTGATTATGACTTAAAAATTTCAAAGTTAAGGACCTGGACTCGACTTGGACTTGATTGCCTTTAACTTGAACTTGACTGGAAAGTCTTGTGACTTACTTGTGACTTGCAAAGCAGTGACTTGGTCACACCTCTGATATTTACTACTTCCAGGTCTTTTTACTTCCTAGGTGGAAGCTCAACACGGGGACAGACACATATCTGCTTCCTGACAGATACCTTCATTTCCTCCAGGTTGGCTGGTAAGACCCCGGGTTTGCGGTTGGACAGCGAGTTGTTTGGCCGAGCTGCTGCTGAGGACAGAGGTGGAGGTTGGGCTGTGGTGGGTAAAGACGCCATGATGGAGGTTGGCAGCGTACTGACATTGTTGCTCTGAATCTCAGCCACAGATCTACGCGAGACAGAGTGGAGCTCATTGTTTAGTGAGGAACCAGAATATTTACAAGACAGAATTTAAAAGGAAACAGAGGAAATTTTGTACAGAAACACATAGGATTCCATTTTGTTCATTGTTTCCAGGTGGAAGCCATTGTTCACACTTACTTGAGTGGTGCTGGTAGTATTGTCTGATAGTTGTAGTGTTGTTGCTGCTGACTCAGGATCTGCAGCTGCAGGAACAGCTGCTGCTGCTGCAGCAGGCGGGTGTACGAGGAGTCCATCAGCGCCTCGCTGGTCTCCTGCTTCTGGTCTGGAGGGACGTACTGGTGGTACTTGAGCTTCTTCACTCTGGACTTTGGCTCTTTGCTCTTCTTGCTGCGGTTCTTCTCTGATGGAGCCTTCTGCTGGCTTTGCTGTTGAGGAGGAAGAACATCCAACATCAAACAGATCCCAAACAGCAGGTCCTACATGCTCAAAAAGGGTCGTCATTAAAGCTGAAACCCTAATCATTTCAAAATAACACAGCTTTCACCCATTTTTAATAAGAGCGGCAATGCATTCTGGTGGAACGCCCACAGGTCAGAACAGTCACACACCGCTGCTTTTATTATTGTTTCCAGCTGAACGACAACAGAAATAAAAACAAATGGATCAGTTTTGCTACATAAGATGCTCCGCCCACTTGGCCTTTTCTGTTGACACAACCTTTAAAGAGCACTTCCCATCTAGCACTCGGATCACTTACAGATGTTTTCGGATGTGATGAAAGAAGAACAGCTGGCAGGTAGGCTGCAAAACCCGGCTGGAATGAAACTCCTGCATCAACCACTCCTCACTCACTGGAATGATTACTAATGAAAGCAGCCAGAGTTTTAATCACACCGCAGAGCCTCGGTGAAGAAAAGCAGCCTGCATATGCGAGGGTCTGGACATGGGTTATGTCCTGTAAGCTGATGCTGCTATACACACCTGATCAGAAGTTTTTAATCCAGTAATGGAAGAAACCAGGAGCTTTACACGTTATGTTGTTTAACGCAGTAAAACAGCAGCGAAACAGAAGCTCATCAGTAAATCCAGAAGTAAAACTGCCCTCTTAAAGGAAGCATCTGCACATTTTCACATCATTAATGAGATAATCTCTGCAGGGCACAGAGACAGATGCTGTTTGTTTTAAACCACAAACACCCATACAGCCTAGGGGTTTCCTCCCGTCCTGAAACATTTTTTAATCAATCACATGAGTGTTTTTAAGGAAGCTGCCCCTCTGAGATAAAGCAGTGAAGAACAGTTCATGTTCATAAAAGACTACACATTAGAATCCGTACTTTGACCAGAGTGGGACCTGGTTTTGGGAGAGCCGCTGGGGGAGCAGGAGGGACAGCTGGACAGCTCGGAGGCAGCTCACTGGTGGGAATCCCTTTAGTAACATCTGCCGCTGGAAGGAGCTGAGGAAGCAAAACCAAATCAGAAACAAAATCTTCAAACTCAGTGTTGGAACCAGCTGAATATGGTTGTAAAATCACAGAAAGCCATTAAGGCAGGTAATTATAGGTCTCGTCTGACCTGCAGCAAGGTGGTGGGTGCTGGAGCTACGCCTGGTGAAGGAGTTTCTGGTGTTTTACCCTCCCCTGGTGACGGAGCAGAGCTCTGGGACTCCTGACTGGCTGGTTGCTCTGGAGACAGTGCCTCACAGCTGTCCTCATCCAGAACCTTGGGATAATTCACCTGACCCACTACAGACACACACCATCATCACCACCATCACCATCATCATCATCACCATCATCATCAGAGGACTCTGACCTATGATGGCCTGTTTGAGGCTGGAGTCCACTGGCAGGATGTTCTTCTCCACCAGCTCCATGGGACCGGGTCTCTGGGCGATCTTCTCGTTCAGGTTGTCAGCCAGCCTCGCCCTCTTCAGCCTCATCTGGGTGGCCTGCAGTGAGGGTTCTGCTCCGGTCTCTGGAGAAACAGGGACACAAAACCTACAAGTCAGAGGTGTTAGTGACGACTTGTTTGACTGCTTAGGGACAGTATTGTTTGATCGTGAATGCAGTTATTTGAGTCGTGCGCTTGGAAGTTTGAGGAGGATTTAGCTTCTTTCCCGGAGGACGTTCTAGTCCAACATGTTTAAGGAGGACAGGAAGAAGAGCCAACGACGGAACAAAAAGAAGGGGAGGATTATCAGCACCTTGCAGGATGTGCATCCTGACCAGCTCTGCTCTCTCTGGACGACTGCGGATCTTGTGCTTCAGAAAATTCTCAGTCTGAAGAGAAACAAATTGCAATCAGAACATTTTTATCTAAATGTTTCAAAATCAGACGAAAAAAACTTTAAAGCAAGTCACACTTTTTATTCATTTTGAATTTAGCGTGTTCCAGAATTTGTTTTATTCTGAACATTTAAGTGTAAATGTGCAGATCAAAGTTAAGTGTGATAACAGCGAGATTCTACAAGAACGTGTCAAAAACTACGGAAGCGTGGTTAAAAAAAATGTAGGATTATTATCTCGTAATAAACTTTCTCGTTACAATGTGATATTAAACTTGTTTAAACGAGAAAAGTTCTCTAAATAACATTTTTCATATCTCGTAGTGATGAGAAAGCTCTAAAGGGTTAAACACCGACATCTCACGGGATGTTTGAATCACATCCAGAAGAAGCAAAGCAACATGGAGTCCAAGAGAGCTCCTTTATGTCTGTTAAGAAGCAGTAATAAGTCAGAAGAACTAGGGATGCACTGATTTAGGGATGGGCGATATGGACCAAAACTCATATCTCGATAACTTGTTGCTAAATTACGATATACATATCGATATTTTTCCTCCTGTAAAATATTTACAAGTTAACTCATTTCAAGCCGTCTTGAGAAATTATACATAAATCAGTAGATTAAATGCATTTAGATGTATTGATTATTGCCAGACTTTAACCTTAGTGCCTATTCTCTACCAGTCTGAGATTTAGAAAGACACACACACACACACACACACACACACACACACACACACACACACACACACACACACACACACACACACCATGTTAAACTAAATGTATGATGATGTAATTGCATCTACTGAAGATCACATGGGTCATGCACTGTGGAGTTATTAGTAATCAGGGCAAACATGGCAGGACTAACAGTATTGGCTCATATCAGCGATTATACTCTAATGACTCAGAGTCTCTGGTTGCTCTTTTATGAGTATTATTTTCATGCTACTGTCGCCGTAACCCACACCTTACAAACTCTTATTTTCAACAGTCGCCCGTAACCGAGCGGACCGGAACAACATTTCTCACCTGTTGAGCTCGCCTTCAAAATAAAACATTAACCCAATAGTTTACTATTCAAACCCTTACAATTTGTTTGAGGTAATTTGGCCACTCCGGATATCCGTAGATGTTTCCTGATTACACAGGGGAGGGAGGGGTTTGACTCGTGTCTCTGCACAAGCAGGGTGGATAAACAGAACTCTGTTGGCGTTGAACGTCCACAAATAATTAAAAACCAGGACGCCAAATGCAAAGATTAGAGCAGCACATTTACCCAGACGCTCTCAGATTGAGCAAACTTGTGAGAATACATGTAATAGCCACTTAAAGATGGAACATGTTGCTAACATAGTGGCTAATCGCTAGCAAAGCAGTTTGACCGGTTATATCGTTATAAAGATATAAAGTCATCTTGTATCTTGTTTAAAAACTATATTGATATTTTAAAAAATTTGATATATCACCCAGCCCTACACCGATATGAATGTTTTGGTCCGATACCAATATCCAATATTAATATCAACATTATGGCCTTAAAGCCCCACCCTCAGCTCCTCCTCTCTTCCCTTTTGTGGAATTGTCTGGGCTTGACGGAACCTGTGACACGGTCAAAATGGCGGTGGTGGCCACCTCCCATTTTAGTACAAAAACTTATTATTGGAGTCTAGGGAAACCCATTGTCCAATATTTATATGTCGATGGTTCACATTTAAGACTTCAAAACATTTCACATCCACAAACGATGCACATAAAATATACGTGCTGCTGTTACACTAGCATGTTCTTTCTGTGTGGGAAGTCTGTGGGTGTTTTTGTGGGTGCCTACAATTAAACACAACCTCTAGCTATGAAGAGCTGTCATTTTGTTGCTTGGCAACAAGTTGTGCATGGCGCAGCCAGCAGGGAAGCGAGCTAGTGAGCACAATTTATTGATTCAAGCACCGTTGTTAACCCAACCCTTTTACTCGGTTTGTTGTGGTGCTGCTGTACGTAAAGGTGTAACATCAAGAACTGGAATAGCTGCTTCGTTCATTCTTAGTAAGACTCCAAAACGTATAATCACCATTTTACTGTTCTAATCTCTCGTTATTACGAGATTTATATCACTTTGTAACGAGAAAGTTTCACGCTAGAGTGAGAAACTTTCTTATTACAAGATTCTGATACTTTCCCCCCACGCTGCCGCAAAAAAACAAACAAAACATTGAAATATTCCTTATAGAATAATTATGATTTATATTGAAAGAGAACAAATTCTAAATGTTTGCAATGAAAAGTAAAAATGTTGAGTACAAATACTGACAAAACAATAATGCGCTTATAAGTTAATTATTTAAAATGCTTCATTTTGATCGTAAAAGAAGAATCAGAAACTAAACCAGCAAACACCGTCATTATCCATAATTAACTACAATTTAATTTGACTTAAATATTTTTCTCAAATTTAAATTTTTATCTGAAAATAGCTAGAACACAAAAATCCTGTTATTTTTCTCATGAGTGGGCCCAATATGCCGTCGTAAATCCACCCTGAAAAACATCGATTATGTGCTTTTGTAAACATGCTACTGTATTTTGAGGCACGCTGTACTCCTCGTGGCTGTTTGTTCTTTCTTTAAAACAAACGTGGATTTTCTGTCTTACCCTGGCCCTTTCCAAGCTGCGAATCTGGCCATGGAAAGCTGCTGGACTCTTCAGAGCTGCAACACAGTTTTCATCAAGTTCAGCTTTCAAATGTCGTTTTGTCACCTCAGATAAACAGCATGGAATAATGTTGACTAGGTCAGCTATCAATGTGCTTGTTATAATTAACACAGCACATTAGGTGTTCAACTGGTGGCGTGCTTACTCACGTGGCATGATGCCCTGATCCACCAGCTGCTCCCTGGTTCGCCTCTGCTGAAGCCTCAACTGCAGCACTGGAGGAAACAAGGGATCCGGGGGAGAGAAATAGGGTAAATGGTATTTTATAACGAGGACACGTGGGAAAGCTTGAGTTGATGAGTGAAAAGTAAAACGAGGAAAGTGAGACTGTTTATTTCTACAGTAAATCCTGTAAACGATGTTTTAGAGGACGTAAACCAGGTGTGTGATCCTTTAGTACGGGAGGAATTCAACAAGCCATAGTGATGTTAGCCTCAATTTGTTCAGCTACTTTTATTTCAACATCATAGCCACCAACTCGTTCACGGTGTTCCATCCTGAAGTTAAAACACTTCGATTTTCACCAAGCAAAAGCAGCAATTTCAGCTTTAGGATCAAAGGCACTTATATACATGTAAACACCACTGAGTCAAGAGTAATCAGAGTACAGGAGGAGACACCAATGAAGAAGAGTGCTCACCTTCTCCTGAGCTGAAGCCGCAGCTGCTGAGGACCTCTGCCCTCATACGGACCAGTCTAACACCTGAAGCACCCAAACACCACTGACGGAGCTCAAGAAGTCCCTCCACAGCAGCAGCCTGAAGTAAATGAGCTCAGTCCAAACCGCCCAGCTCAGCGTAAGACTCAAGAGGAGCAGTAACACAAACATTAGAAGCTTCTTTATGTTTATGTTGGAGCTGGAGCCTAAACCTCCCCTTTCACGTTTACTTCCTCATCTAGCACTTTAGAACCAGATCACTTCTGAGTTGGCCTGCTGCTCCAGCCAGACTCAGCATCAGCAGCTGTTTCACAACATCAACAGGATAGATTCATGGCATTTTCTCGCTTTGATTTCCATCTGTCCAAAACACATGAAGTCATCACGTTGAGCGGAAGGAACTGCAGGTTTGACATCATTTAAAAACAGACTGTGAGCTGAAAACACTTCTCTATTCAAGTGATGTCATGCGATTATTGAAGCCGAACACTCGCTCGTGGTCTAACAGGAAACAGCTGGCCTGACTAGGTTCACAGCTTTTGATTCTCTTTCATCTGTTTTGAGCACGTTTGGTATCACCACGCAGTGATTCTTCAGCTAACCAACCTGGTCAAGGTGAGGTGAAACATTTACAGAAGTCGGTGGTGATGCTGACGTTCAGAGCCTCACCTCACCCTGTGGCTAGTGTGACTCAGATCTGCAGTTAAAACACAGACGTGCTACGCTTTGTTCAGAGGAACTTCCTGTCAGCACAAGAGTCCTGAATTCTTCTGGGAAATGATGCTGCTCAGGCTGACCTTTGACCTCAGCTGCCTGAGGAGAGGTCGACAGCATACCAGAGCTGATAGGATGGAGGGTTCTCACACGACTGTGGATTTCCTCCACCTGCAGTCGCTGCTCCAGAGGATTCAACTAACCCCAACGACTCAGTCTCCTCCACCCGAGACAGGTTAGCAACAAAAACGGTGACTTTAAAGTTGGGCTAACTGAAAACAACCTTTTATTTTATGTCTATGCCTTTGGCAGAATGATTTACAACTGAGGATGTAACATAACAGGTACCCTAAAGGCTGACAATAACCTCTGTGGAGGGAGGAACACTAGTCAGAGGGAACAGGTAACGAACAGGGCAATAGAGTAGGTGAAGGTGAAGAACAAGGCAGGGATCTAGGAGATGCTCTCTGAAGATCGGAGTCTTCAGTTAGGGTTAGAGACAGAGACGTGTTCGAATCAGACACAGGAAAGGAGTCTGGATTCAGCTCTCTGACAAGCCTTATAGGAGCAAAGCGACCAAGTTCTGTCATTTCATGGGAAAAAATCTCACTCATATTCAACAAATTTACTGCAACAGCATGTTTTCCCACTATTGTTTAGAGTAATTTAGCTTTAGATAGTGGTTCATGGTGTCCAATCTGATAAAGTTAAAGGCCCATTATTTGCCACACACGCTGATGTGTGGTGAAATTCCATCTCCGCATTTGACCCGTCTCCGAGGGAAGAGGTGAGCAGTAGACATGTCCGCGCTTGGAAAATACTTGGTGGTTCAACCCCCCAATCCAACCCCTCAATGCTGAGACTCAAGCAGGGAGTGGACTGTGTATCTGAACCCACGATCTTCCAGTCTCAGGGAGGACACTCGACCCACTATGCCACTGAGCCGGTTAAATGACCAAAGATTCGATTTACTTTCCACCTTATAAGAAAAACAAACAAACTGGAAAAAATAAAAAATGAAACAAACATCTGATTGCTAAATTATTTTGATTAAATTGAAAAATCTGTTTCTGGAAGTGAAAAACGTAAACATGGAGGATCGGTTATTGCTAGCATATTGCTGTTTGGTCACGGTGCATTCATGGACAAGACTTAAAATTTTCAACGTTTTAACCATTTTGTTTGAAAGTTCTTATCCAGAATTTTCCTCTTTCAGGAATTATGTTTGCTTTTTCAGAAATCTATAAAACTGATTGTCTTATCATGTATAATGTAAGAAATGCATCTTTTACTAAGCCTGCCCCCGGTCCGACAGCAATATGCAATATGAACCGAGTCAGCACTAACCAATAGCTTATGTACACGTCAATCAGAGCGTGTGCTCGAGCGCTTAACGACGTACCTCGGTTGATACACAGGTGGTGTCCTCTCTCATGGACAAGGAAGTCTTTAAAAGTTAAATATGTGAAAACACAACATCACATGCGCATGATAGTTGTAAAACAATGTGTTTTAGCTCTGTTTGTCAGCTAGAGAAGCACGTTCATGAACGACAGACGTTGCTTTCGGGTGTAAATACAGAAGTAAAACAATGTAATGGTGTGAGACGCTTGTCAGCCACTAGATGGTGCCATCGGCTAAAAGGAATAGGGAGCCCAAGTCACTTCCGCGTCATGCGTCCCCGGAAGAATGAAAAAATGAATGCAAGTCAACAGGGCTAAAAACGCTATTTTCTATTCTGCTCGTTTTGTGCCACGGATTCCACGTGATGTCCATGTATTTTAAAGAAACATTTTGATACCAAGAATGAGCTTATTTTCAAACGGGGAGGGGACGATATTTTATATTTTATGTGAAAATACGTCCAGGACTACAAATGCGCTTCACGAAAGTGACGTCATCAAACCAGACATGGAGAAAACTGAGGGAAAACGGCTGTAAGTTCAGCAAACTTCCTACAAGAGGAAAGAACCACCATAAACCTGGCCATGTGGTAATTAGCAGCTACGTTAGGGGAGAGATTATGTGGTGACGTCACAAATGCGACGTGCCGTGTGGGCTTGGCAACTTTATGGTGTATGACACTTAAATAAATTAAATCAATTAATCAATCAATCAAATCTAGTATGTAGTCATGCTAATTATGATCTTTTACAAGCTGATAAATGTCAAAGTATGTGACAGGCGTGGTCAAAACACCAATCATTAGTTTTAATTTAAATTGCAGTACAACATATGTGCAATCCAGGGCGTAAGGCAAAGCGGGTTAGAAAATAACGTTTTTAGCCCCGTTGACTTGCATTCATTTTTTCCATTCTTCCGGGGACCCATAATGCGGAAGTGACTTACCCCGGTTTCACACTGCAAGTATCAGCAGAACGGAACAGCAGCGGAGCGGCTCACTCGCGAACTTCAAAGCAGTCCTTTTCACACAGGGAGAGTCTTGGCCGTGGCACGGCTTCCTCGCTGTACCCGCGAGATTCTAAAATCCCTCGAGATTTTCACCATCCTTCCTCGTCGAGAGATCACAACCCCCGCGAGGAATCACACCGTTGCACTTCTCGAAAGAAACTGGTGGTAAACAAAGCCGTTCGGTCACACGTGCTGACGTAAGTTATGTATAGCATTGCAAAGTTGCATTTTATTTTGACAATAACCGGGGATTTTACACTGAAACCGTGTGTGGTTTCCTGTCTCGCACTATGTGGACTGCGGAAATTGACATGTCCCAGAAGTGGCTCGCGGAAAAAATAGAACTCGATCCTATCTTTAGCGACGCGGCGCAGCATGCCGCTTCTGGGATGTGCCTGGAAATTGCTGTGCTTGAAACACTCCATAGACTATAACTGGATTCTTTTTGAAGCGGTGCTGCTTCGCTGCCGCTCAGTTCCGCTGATGCTTGCAGTGTGAAACCGGGGTAAGGCTCCCTACAATCCAGACGGCTTCTTTAAACATTGCAAATCTACCACTAACAAGCAATTTATCATCGGCCAACGTTTTAGTTCTGGAAGCACTAAATAACATTTCTGTGCAAACACAAAACAATGAAAACAATAAAAGATGTATTGCTGTAAAGTGAGGTACACATGCACAGGTGTGAAGATGGAGGGTTGGAATAAAATGATGGCTTAAATCATAGACCAAAGATAGAAAACATCATGCAAGTTGAGATCAAAGTTTTTCTGTTAGTCTCATCTGGCTATTTTTAAACAGAAGAATACAGAAGGCTATAATATTTATGTAAAAAGCTAAAATGATTCAGATCAAATAACTGGAGAACCAAATAAAACGAAGACAGACATGGAAAAAAAATCAATGTTTAGCCAAAAAGATTTTAAACTCAATTGAATTACATGAAAGAAAATCCAAATATTTGCTGCCTTACTTTGCATCTTTGACAACATAAGCTCATGTAAAGCACCAGCCTGTGGTTTAACTGGATAAGTGTAACGGGTAAACGTTAAAAGCTTTGGGTTTAAAACCCTCTCCCAGCCCTGATGACAGCAACATCGCAGCTCTCCTCTCCACTCACCCCTCCAGAGCAGTAATGAAGGCAGACCCATCAGCACCTGAGAGGCTGAAACCAGTATGAGAAAGGGGACTTGTGGTTGGCATAGCTCTAGGAATGGCTCAGACGGTGGAAAGTATGAGGTGTGAGATCTCAGTGGAGGGGAAATGACACAAGCCAAGATGATGAGTGGGTGCTACTACTGTTGACATTCCTCAGAAACTTTCCACTGTAGAGATGTATATTTGTTCTGAGCGCTCCTGCAGACAGCAGCAGAAACAGGACTTGACGCCACTAAATGGGACATTAAGGGAAAAAAATGTGTCTGAAAGGGCCTTTAAACAGCCAACATTTTTAATGAATACGATCAGTATGGAGATAAATACTCCAGTGAGTTGAACAAAATGACTCCACTAATCTCTTGTTGCCATCTCAGCAATGATTAGGAGCAGGGAAATCGTTCCCAATGCCTTGTAATAGAGACCACATCCATCAGTGTCAGTCTGGTCCGTGAAGCTGCTTGAACAATGTGAGCACGGCTAAAAGCTAACAGACTACTGAGATGTTAACTGGCTTGTGTGCAAAATTGGACGGTTCACAGGGTCCAAACAATTTTTTTTACAGCCAACCACAACCTGATCCAGGGTGTGTGTGTGTGTGCTGGTATGCATGAGAATCTATGTAAGGGAGATAATCAAGTCTGGACATTCTATAAAAATTGCTCAAACTACAGACTGATTTGTGTCTACAGTGACATTCATGAGCAACCAGCACAGTCAGTAAACACAAGTAGGCACGCCATGAGAATACCCGCATCTAGAATGCTTCAGTGACCAACTGCTTGAGGCAGATGTGGTCAAATCTGTTGTGTGAGGCTGTGGTGTTTAAACTTACATGATGTCCTACAGCTGTGCAGAAGTTAAAGCCAAGTTAGGTAAAGCCTGGAGCACACCGGAGGCAGAAACGCCGTGCCACGCCACGCCACGCCACGCCGCGCTGTCATTTTAAATAGAAGCAATTATAGTTAATGAGAGTGGCTACTCAGGGAGCGCTGCATCCTAGAAGCGCAGCGCCGAGGCGCTGATGATAGGCGCCAGTCTCATCTCAAGGTGGCGGCGGCACTGCAGCCGTTTCCAACATTGTGCAGTAACAGACATTACGACACGGAACGGCTTTACAATAGAAACTCAACCGCCGGCACAAACCCAGCTGCAGTTCTGATAACTTAAAGTACTATTGAGCTTAAAATATTCAAATAAATAGCATACTTACTCAATTCCTGTTCTCAAGTCCCACGTGATGTTTATTTATTTGGCAGACGCTTTTATCCAAAGCGACTTACAATTTATAACCTATAGGGCATGTTGTGATCTGTGGGGGAAACCGGAGTACCCGGAGGAAACCCACGCATGCATGGGGAGAACACGCAACTCCACGCAGAAAGGCCGCAGCCGAGTTTCGAACCTGCGACCTTCGTGCTGTGAGGCAACAGTGCTAACAACTGCGCCACCATGCAGCTGATGTTGTGACGATCGCCCGACTTTCCAAGAAGCGCTCAGCGGCGCGTCCTGTATGACCACTTGACTTCTCAAAATCGCGAGCGCGGCGTGCGTCTGCCTCCGGTGCACCCCAGACTTTAGTAGTGTATAGTATAATAGTTGGTTTTACTAAAATCTCACACGCTTTAAAAGGCTTGTTCAGTGACAAACTGAAGCTGTCAAAGTAGTCACATTTGTTTTTGAATTCCAAATCTGACTGAGCTGATGAGCTAGTGTTTTTATGTGTGACAAGTTGATGTTTACAACTTAGGTAATTGGTGATAAAAAACAAAAAGCTAATGTTGACTCCAACATGCCATCGGTGTAAGAGTCTGTGCTGTTTGTTGTTGCACCAACAGCCAAGTCCAGGCTAACTAAAGCATCATCTGATCTGATTTGCAGATGAGTCTCAGATCTCTTCAGCTCTTTATTGAATGTCCATCATTCTGTCGCCCAGATGTAGGTCGTGCAAAGCACCACATACCTTCCATGCTATAATAAATCACCATGGCAACATGCCATGCATTAAATAAAAGACTTCCACATCTTGTATAAGTATGCACTATTCAGTCCCATGGGGGTTCGAATCTGCTGTTTAAGTTTAAACAAAACCATAAGAGAGTATGTAAACAGTCTCAATATAGACCCATCAGAGGGGTTGCATCTAGTACCACCACTGCAGTATTTAACATTATTCAAGACCCCTCCACAACTGAAAACCCACCATTTTATTTGGGTTTCTATTATTTATAAACAGTAAATTTTGGGATGTTTAGGACAAAACACAAAGACTTAAGGCATAATATTAAAATATGTTGATATGAAGTATAAATCACAACATGGCAAAAACACTTGTTGTATTATGACAGAAATACAAAACATCCTTACATATACCTGAATCTGTATAAATACCTCATTGAAGTATTAAAAGATCTGTTGAACACAACCATTTTCAATTATTTAGGGGTGTGTATTGGCAAGAACTTGGTGATATGATCACATGGGAGACACCATCATATATTGTGATGCTAAAAGCCAGACGAGATTTGCAGATTTTAATACCAAATTAAATATTAAAACGTAGGCCAGACACACATCCTGGGCTATAGGGAGCCTAAGTCTCCGCCCTTTACAGTCGGCTCACCGTTCCCCGGAAGAATGAAAAAAGGAATGCAAATCAACGGGGCTTTGCCTTAACGCCCTGCATCGCACATATGTTGTACTTGTATAATTTGAATGAAAAGTAATGATGTGCGTTTCTTCCTACACTTTAAAATTAAGACTGATAGTTTAGACTCCAAACATTACACGTTAACAGACACAAGAATAGAATTAAACAGAAGAACATAGGCCTGGCCTAAAAGTTACTTCACACATTTGTTTACGGGAAAACACTGTTGACAAAGAACGCGTAAAACTTACCGTTTTTGCGTTCATTGAGAGGGGGCAGATTCTGTGTGGGCTGCAAAGTCAGCTCCTCCATCTCGTGGGTCATTGACTCACTCTGAGGACTGGGCACCAGGAGGTTTGACATCCCATTATCTCCCTCTGTTCCTAGATGCTCCCGAGAAGCCTGGGGCTCCATGGTGCCTCAGGAGCAGGTGGATGGGGTCTGGATCACTGCCCCTTTAGGTCAGGTCTTCCTGCTACCTATTGACATAAAATAAATAAATAGAAACAGGAGTTACAAGAAAATTGTATAACTGCTTCTGATTGGAGAAATTTTATGAATGCCACAAAAACACCAGTAATTCAGTACAGTTGTCATGATCATCCTGTCGGTATGACAACGTCATTCGAATGGTGAAATGCTACCAGTGGCTTTTTGCTTTAGCCATCTGGAAGAGCTCAGTCTGAGCCCAAATTATTCATTACAGAAGCCTGTTTGGCAATTACACAGAATAATCCCTTCAAACTGCTCCTTAAAGGAAAACAACGCCACTTTGAGTATGAGTCCTGCCTCTATTGAGACAGGCTTCATAAGAGCGACGTCACCATGGCGGCTTCAAACCGAGGCAAGTTGAACATTTAGGAGAGCAAAACAGCGGAGAGCTCGGTATCTGTGGTTTCCAACATGTGTGCCATTTATCGCCCCAAATCAATCCATCCTAGAATCTGTCATAATCCAGGCGTGTTGCTCTAGGTCAAAATCCTCTCAGTTTCCATGGTTGGTCTAATCTTCCACTCTGAAATCCTTTAGATGGCCTCGCATGAACAGGAATGTAAGGGATGAAACAGAAGCCTCAAAACTCAGGAATTCTTCCCGCTCCTATTTGTGTAATTTCAGGCATCATCATCAAAAGGTGAAAAATTCAACCATGCCAATTTCAAAATGAAATATCAACCTTAAATTCAACTGTTCAGTTTTAATTTAAAATCGCTTTTTCCTTTTACGGACAGTCACGAAGCGAAGAAACTTCTAAAAACACAAAATAACAGATAGAGTTCAGGACCGGACCGTTCCAGGAGGCGGTAACAGATATTCAGGCTTAGACCTGTAATGGATCTCTCCTGCTCCCAATGATAAAAATCAAACAGAACTCTGCTCCCTGAGGTCTTCTACTTTCAATTTCCTTGGATCGTGTCAACAATCAGGCTTGACACACACACCGGCTCTGCTCATTTGCTTAGCTCTCTCAGGAGAAGTATCAGGTTGTTTAACAGTGATCCAGGTCAGCTTTCCTTACAGATTCACCAACACACCAGACCTACAGAAACACTTACTAAAACGTGTCCTATAGATCCACAGACTTTACTGCGCATTTATAACGTAAAATCAAACAATTATGAATTTTATCTTGCTTTATTCGTTACAGTTGAGATTTTTTTTATTTTGTATTTTCTACCAGCACAAATGGTCAGGAATGAGGCCTTCAACAATAAAACTGTCAAAACCAGGTCATGTCTGGTTGTTATTAGGTTGGGGGGGGACTACTCTGAAAACAATTTGCATGTGAAGTGTTTAGTGACTTGTTTTAATCAGCTGAAGACTTCTGTGAAGACAAGTCAAGCAGTGAGAAAAACAGACATCATATAAAAAAAGGTCGGCAGCATTCCCCCCCCCCCATAAGACTTTTGAAGATGCACCAACAGGGAAACAACTACTAGAGCCCGTTGGCTTATCAGATACAACAAATGAAAACCCACTCACCAATATTAAATTAGACAATCACAATACAGGCAGGGATGCTGTTTGTGTTTGAAGATGAGTGGAGGATAAAACGGATGTTGATGAAGCACCACTTTAAGATAGATGGATGAAACCAGCTCACACTCTCAGCCGCATCAAGGTCTGAATATCAATGGAGAAAAGCTGAGGTGGTCCTGGGAGACATTTAAAGAGACAGTCTATTCACATCACACAAAGATGCTTTTAGATCTCCTAGTCAGTGTAAAAACAACCACACTAATGACAGGCTGATGGAGTTGTGTGTCACCAGCAATAAAAACTACCAATAGTCATTTAAAATAGACTGACTGGATTAGAGCTGGGAATCAATTCAAATTTCAAGAATCGATTCGATTCAGATTCTCAAGAATTAGAATCGATTATAGCGATTTGATAAATTAATGAAATACTGGTGATTTTAAAAGGCTGTATGGCTCAATCCTCCACTCAGAATTTTGCTTTTCACAAACATGCGGTCACTAAGAACTATTAAACAGATCCAGGACAGTAAACAGAAGAAGCAAGAAGTGTAAACATGTTAACGGAGTGTCAACAATGACCAGACCTGTCAGCAATTGTACGTTTTTCCCTATAATATTCACCCTGCGTGTGCTGCGTTCGTCTCCTCCTCTCATCCTCTTCCGTAACCAAGAGCCTCCCAGCAAGAGACGGTTTTCAAACTCTTAAAAACTTAGAAACTTTCAATATAAACACACCCATAAGTGCGGCTCAGACTACTCAGGGTAGACATCTCCACTAAAGGCTGCCCAATATGGTATTTTAAGGCCGACGCCGATTCCGATTTTTAAAGAATTTTGTTGTCGATAGCCGATGTCTAAAGCTGATTAGGCCAAAATATATACGTTTTAGCATGACATTGATTGTGAAAGACAACTGAAGACTGACATTGCGCAATATAAATTTAATAAGTCAATAAATCTCATAATATTTATTGAACTTCAAATATAAAACAAACTCGAAACATGAAAAAAGAGAAAAGAAAAAAACTGTGTTGGGGTCCTTTGGGTTCTTTCTTCAGTCTAGTAGTAGTGGCAGTAGGCCACACAGGTGCCTGATTTTTTTGTTTTTTCCTATATCCGCCTTTAAAAATAATTTTGACCGATGGCCGATGCAGAAGACATCTAATAAATCAGTCGGCTTCTAATCTCCACTATTTTCTGGTGTAAAGTAGTAACTTCCTGAGGGATCATATTTGCAGCTGTGGCTCGTTAAAGTCAGCAATGACACTTATTGCAATTTAAGGATGTTGGTGCTTAAAGGGTTAAATCGATCTCTGGACGTACAAATCGATCCTCATGAATATTTATGAGCCTTGTTTAAGAATCGGAGTATTGATTTTTTTCAACACAGCCCTAGACTGGATCATCAACGGATGTTTTTAAATAATTTAACCAAAAATACTTTGAAAAACTCAGTCATTAAGCTCTATTGATTAAATTACAGCAAGCAAAAGACAACCAGATCCCAGATTTTTATTGTTATTTATATTATTTCACTCATTCAAAATGCTTTTTCATTTCTCCTTTCAGTTGAGAGGTTCCTAAAAAAGATCCCCAGGACCCTGGATAAACTCTACAACAATACCATTTTATTGCCAAATCTCACCACAAAACAGCAGACAGGAAGACAATTTACTGAAACAAATGCAACAACACCAGTCTATAACCACTGACTGGAACACAAAAAAGTTGATGGCCTAAATGGAAATATAGCCAGGGGTCACCTATCGTGGAGTAGCTATGGTAGACCAAAAACAAAAGAGCTGCTTTAATGCTGCTACTGCAGAAAATCCTAAACAAAACAAAAAAAAAAAAAAAAAAAAAAAAGGGGTTTGCAAAACTGACTTTACAAACTGACAACTTTGAATCAGATTAAAAGCTAAATCTAAAAAAAAAAAAAAAAAAAAAAAAAAAACTAAATTCTGAATTTCACTAGGCTGAAACTCAAAATCGCAAGAATAAGATACACTCAGCTGCAGTCACACTAAATGTGTACCTAGCATACTATTGCTGCAAGTTTTACTTATGATCAGGTCACATGAGCCATATGATGCAAATGAAGACAAAAAGGGAGCCTAAGTTTCCTCCCCTTCCGGTCTACTCATTGGTCTCTGAATGTAAGTGAACAGGACTAAAAAAGTATTATAAAGAACTTTTATAAAGGAGCGCTTCCTAGACCCAACATAAGTTGGTTTGAGGTGCTCTTTGGATGGGAAGATTCAGTTTAAAAAACAAGAAAAACGCCAAGGCACTCTCAAATAGAAAAAGTTAAAAAGCCTTTATTATAATGGCTAGGTCACATAGGGCTTTAAAAAAAAACCTCCAACACGTTTCAGCAATGTAGTCTTCGTCAGGAAGTCAAACAGTTCTCAGCAGTAAGGAGAGGTTCATAACAACTACAAACACCAATCAGAAAGCTCCACATAGCAGGTGTGTTAGACAAGTGACAAGTGTCTACAATCACCAGCAGGTGTCATTCTTACTAAATTGAAAGAAACAGACATAGTAAATAAAATATACCAAATATCATACATTATATACATATGGTTAAAATACACCCAAAAAGTAAAAAAAAAAAAATCATAATATCATGAGCAAATGGGATAAGAATAATGCCAACACGTAAAACAGACTAAACCAATCAAAGAAAAACTCTAAAGCCTAGCTCATCATTTGTGTTTAGTGGGCTGAAATTTAAATATCCAAAAAGACTCCTTATGATTTAGCTGTCTCTGCCTGTCACCATGTCTCAAAGACTGTGGGACATGGTCAATCCCACAAGCCTGTAAAGTGGACGGGCCACTGTTGTGATGCTCCATGAAGTGTCTTGCCATTGAGTAGTTGGCGTTACCTGTGCAAATGGCATATTTGTGTTCAGCCAGTCTATCTTGTAGTCGTCGTTTGGTTCTGCCAACATAAAACACTTTGCACACAGGACACTCTAATCTATAAATAAAAGTAGTTTTACAATGAATGAAATGATGAATCGAAAAATGCTTTTGGGAGAAAACATCTGTAAAAGTTTTCGTTTGAACTACATTACTACAATGGTTGCAGTGGTGACATTTATAACAACCCCTAGGCCTATTGTTCAAACAAGTTTGTTGGGAATCTGGTTTTAGATAACTTGACTAGGGGCTGCATGACTTAATTTTTTTTAAAGCCGACAGTCAAGCAATGAAAGTCGAGTCGACTTCGACTAGTCATTGGTGACATCATTCACCTGAAGTGGCTAAAACTGACGATGGATGACCGGAGCACGCAGGGGCTCCCTATGCATCGGAAACAAACGCTTGGTCACACCCAAGTGTCATTTTTCGATGCTTGGGTGTGAGAATGTGTAGCATAAACGCAGTAGACAGACAGGGCAGCTTTAGAACACTTTGGCTTTATTTTCAAACTTTATTGCAATTGCAAATGCTGACAACAATCAGCTTCAAAAACAATCTTGAATGCAAAGC